ATAAATCCTGCAAGTGGGCAGCAGTTTGTAAGGAGAAAGGGCAAGTCAAAACATTTTTGCAGTCCTTTTTATGTTAATTTGAATGACTACACAATTTGATGTCAAGTTGCTCTTGTAAAGATTGCTGAACTATTTTAATGCAGTTACTATATTTACTAAAGGTGGTGGAGGGGTTTCTTGTTTCCAGCATCTAGGTTGCAAATTAGAGAGGTTCCGATAGATCTGTGCGTGGTGAGGACTGAGTGGACGATCCCAGTTCTGAGAATGACGAACTTTCTCCTCCTTTTACTTCCCCTAGGTGGTTTGCTCGACCCAGAGAAGGCACCAGATATTATTACTTCTGGATGTTGTTGCTAAATTCTAACTAATTTGAGGCCCTATCTGCCCTCTCATGTAGATGGAAACATCTTGTGTAGACTTCCTTTCAGTAAATTCCATCATGTGAAGATCACAATAACCGTTGGTTTTCTGGATAGCACGAGCAAATCTCAACCATCGTGCTGGCAGAGAAGGATTATTTATTTCAGAGGTCATTGAGTTCAACATAATCTTCTCAAACCTTTCATTGATACTGAGGTCTCCTTTAGCTCCATACACTATGGCCAAACCGAGGCAGACAGTATGCAGTTGGAAATTGTCTGACTTGGCAGACATAGCCCCACTTAAAGGGACCTATTACACCCAATTTTATTTGGAGAGGTGGCTGTTATCTCCTCTTCTCCCTCAATGTGAACATACCAATCATACACAAGAGTTGATGTAAAATAATTTTGGGTTCTTTAAGTGAAGATAAGATATACAACGCAACTCATTCCTAGTCCTCCTACTCATAGATCTCTACACACTGGTAAACTTGTGAACACGGGATCCATAGTATCCGCACCCAATCTCACCCAATATTCACCAGGCGCAGACCTCAGCAGCCATGTAGGGATGACAAAACAACTTCTAACTATCTAATTCAATTCTTGTGCATGCACACTTGATACTGAACAACATCTGATTTATTGAATACATTCGAATATTTTAAATCTCCTTAAGCGACAAACTTCTGTTCAGTAACCACATCAAAGAAACTAATCCTTTATTAGCCCCTTTAAAATGTGAACCAAAATGTAAACTTAAAAAACCCTCATGAGATAAATATCTTTGTAATATTTGAAGCCTCAGCTTTAGAAATGTTAATGAAAACTCAATTGAAACTCCAAAAGCAAACACTGATTTTTTTTAATAATTTGAACCAAATGACATGTCAATCAAAGCAGACAACAGAGCACATTTTTATATTATTCTCTAACTGACATCTCCTTTGACCTGTTTGCTTCGGTGTTTAAAGGGCTAGTGATTTAAAATACATAAAGCATGTTTATATCATAATCTTACCTGCCCTTCATGTGCATTTACATCTTACAAAGCTTGCACATTATGAATTATTAAGACCCTTAAAAACAGCCAATACATGGTCTGTTTCAACTCAGCACGGATTTCATTAGAGGAATCTGGGTGTCCTTGTGAATGAATTTCAAAAGGCTGGTAGGAAGGTACAGTAAGTAATTTGGACAGTTAATAGAATGTTATGGTTTGTTGCGAGGGGACTAAATAAAAAAGTAGGGAAGTTATGCAACAGTTATACAGGCCACTGGTGAGACTGCATCTCCAGTGCTATACGTCATTATTTAAGGAAGGATTTAAATGTGTTTTAAGCATTTCAGTGAAGGTTTACCAGACTAATACCTGGAATAGGGGTGTTATCTTATGAGAGAAAGTTGCAAAGTATCCACTGGACTTTAGAGAGTACTCTTGATTGAAACATGTCAAATCCTGAGGGGTTTTGACAGGCTGGTTGTGGGAAGGATTCTTCTGCTTATGGGAAAATCTAGAACTCAATTTCAAAATCAATGGAGAGGGTGCAAAAGATGTTTACCACATTGTTATCTGGATTGGAGTGTTTTAGCTATAAGGAAAGGTTGGACAAATTTGCAGTTTTTTCACTACAGCGTCAGAGGATGTGGGGCAATCTGATGAAAGTGCATAAAATTATGAGAGGCACGGATAGGATGGATAATCAGAATCTTTTTCCCATGGTGGAAGTGTCAAAAAATAAGAGGGCATAGGTTTAAGGTAAGAAGGCGAAGTTTTAAAGGAGATGTGCAAGGCATGTTTTTTTACACAGAGGGTGATAGGTGCCTGGAATGTGCTGCCACAGGAGGTGGTAGAAACAGATATGATAGCAATGTTTAAGAAGCATTTTGCCAGAAACATGAACAGGCAGGAATAGAGGTTTGCGGACCATGTATAGGCATATAGGATTGTTTAAAATGACAATGTAATCTGCACAGACATGGTGGGCCGAAGGGCCTGTTCCTGTGCTGCACTGTTCTATGTTCTATAGTTACTGTTCTTGTATTGGTGCTGTGGTTGGGGTATAGATGTTGGCTTAAAGCTGGAATAAAAGTCATTGGAAATTTGTTGATTAGTTCCTTATCAGGCATTATTCTCACATTTAAGGAGCTTAGCACCTATTTTATCTGTCCAAAAAGAAGCACACATTTATTGATCAGTAAACTGTCTCACTGCTGAATTGGTACCTCCTGCAGACATTTTTACATTGAATTAATACCCACATGCATACCAATTTCTACTCCAAAGTATCCAAAGGACAAAAAAATACAGTTACTGAATAAAAGGGATAGAAGATCTCCTTTGTCCTTTAAACAGCTACTACAAACTCATAAATAAAGTGACAACAGCCATTATGATAAAGACCAAGATACCTGTATGTGATGTCATGCTCAATACTGCCATGGCCTATTCTGAATTTGAAATTTACTTTGAACTTGAAACGGCTGGAAAGGATGACCACCCGAAACCATCTGACTTATTTTGTGGTTTGGAGCCACTTCCCTGTCTCAAAACAAATAAAAGAAAAATCCACACTAATGTGAGTCAATGCTGTTCTCCGAAACCGATCAAAAGGGTTTTATCGAATTGAATGGATCATTCTAAAATAAAAATGCTGGCCATCTCAAACCCTCAGGGGTGTTAACCCGTGCCATAGATGTATGATCAACATGAACACTGCATCTTTTTTTAAAAAAGACTTTGAACTTAGAAAATGGCACAGGGAGGCAGCCATGTTGTTTGAGGGATCATTTAAGAGCTGTTTGAAGACACGTCCACTAAAACCAGGAAAGCATCAACACAGCGAGACTGTGAAGCAGACCTGAAATAACACCAGGCAAGACACCAGACAACCAAAACAAGTGACCTGTCCAGGTTAATCTCCTCCTCAGAACCAAATCTATAGAAATTTGACTGCAAGGAACCTCAGAGCCTTTTGAGGATCTTTTAATTTACAATTGAACTTTATAGCATCAAAACCATTAAGACACTATAAGCCTGCCATATGGAGGTTAGAGATTATAAATTAGAAACAGAGATAATTATGATTTGTAAAAGTACATTACCTTCATTTTTATCTAATCTCCATGTTTGAAGGCATTGTTTGAAATTAAATATGAGCAACATCGCATTTCATTTGGGAGTAAGTGTATGCGAATAAGTAGGCTTCTTTAGTTTTAAACTCAAGAAAGCTTGCTGTTGAATTATTAAATTGTAAAGTTGAGACATGCATTCCAAAGGTTAGAAAGATATATTTCTTTCTTTCAACATCTACTGATCACAGGGAATAAGAAAACACACATATTGTTTCTATGACAGAGTGGATGGCAATTCTAGTAGTTAAATGTAAGTAAAAAAGACAATTTTGTTACAAAACAGGGACTCTAGCAGGTTAGCAGCTACTATCCAGAAATTTAGCCTTTAGTATAAGAAAGTTAGAGTAATGTCAAGGTAGCTGCAGAGGTTGTGAAACGTGAGCAGTAATAATAATGTTTTAGATAATTTTATTCTTGTTTAAAATCTACTGTACTACCACCTCTTTTCTACTGGTTTCTGCAAGGAAACTGGTTTAAAGGCAAACTGTTTCCTGAATTTTGTTGATTCATTTGTACAGTTATTACTCATGGGTACGCTGAAGAGTCAGGGAAGAGTTGATTTTTGAATGTTCTTCCTAATGAAGTGCCTAGTTTACATTAGGGGCCTCCCCAAGGCAACTAAAAGTAGGAATTGACTGTATTGGGAATTTGAAGAGAAAAATGTGGTGCCATTTAAATAATGCTGAGTACAATTTCAATAAAATTACCAAATGGAAAGATTTTAGCACGTACTGTGCAGTAAACCTGTCATTACAGACTGGCATTTATATATTCTCCCTTACGTTTCTTTTCCATTTACATTAGTCGAGTGGACTGTATAATATGCAGCCATAGGGTGATGCTGATATTGACAGTTTCTCTCTAGACCCATTATATATTGCTTTTTTGGAATTGTTTTCCCATTTGATGGACTGTACCTCCTCCCGTTCCTGTTCTCTTCAGCCAGGACCTCCATAAAGGCATCAGGAAACTGCCAACATACTTTACAGATTGAGACATTATTGACTGCAGAGACCAATGTTACAAATAAAAATGTAAGCTCCCTTCAAGAAGGATCTCAAATTGCCCTCTGCAAAGCTGCCACAGATCCAACTCTGGGAAAGGGCAGACTACTATTACCAATACACTCAGACAGGCAAAGACTGCACCAATTATATGTGAATGAGGGCTGGCTGTTAACATTCATTGGCTATCAGAATGAGGATGCCAAGTGATTAACATTGGTACAATCTGCAAAAGGTTAAGTTATTTCTACAGTTAACCACAAAAGTTTTTTTCATCTGTTACTATCGGTTAGTGCACACGGATGCCTGGAGCTAATTAGCCATGCTCTAACCATTTGCTTAAACATGCCAAACCATCAACAGATAGTAAAATAGGTGCAAAAGAGTGAACTTGTGCTGCTACCATTAACTGCAAAACAATTATCAGTGTCAAGAAACTGTTGGTGCTGTGTAAGCACATTCTGACCAATTAGGTAGGAGAGGGTCATTTCCTGTTCTGCAGAAGGTCTTACTCCAGCAGAACAGAAGTATTCGGTATAACAAGAACAGATATGACTCTATCAAATTGCTTGCACCCAAGCTAGAAAAAGGAGAAATCATTGATTTTTCACAATACAGAATGGCATCCAGTTATACTGCCATGTATCTTCAAATGAAACTGAGGGATCCCAGGAGAAATCTACGTCGATCTTCAGGAGGTACAAATTTATTGATTACACTATCAATAATTAATATCTGTTTTACCATTAGAGTAACATTGAAACCACCAAATGGAGCTTGTACTTTGTGTCGACAAAGTAGCTATTTGTTAGGTTGTGACATGTACTTATTTAAATTGCCAGTTATAATTCAGGACAATGCCTTCAAATATTTCACATGTAGACAGGCTGAAGATATTTTTGAGTAGAATAGAATATTCAACAATTTTCTTTTTCCCAAGCAAGTAAAAGGGAAATTATGAACAAAATAAATAAGCAATTTAACCCACTCAAAGAAATGCTTAGACTAAAGAAAACTGCTACCGCATTTCTTAATAAAGAAAGAAGTTAAATGCTCTCAGTTTTTTAGTAACTTTTGTTCTATTATTAGACTTCATCTGAGGAACATATCCTGTCAATTCTGTGTGTGTGGTTAAGCTCTACTTTCTGCTATCTGAGCAAGATGATCTTTGCACGACACTTGTTCCGGCTGTGTGGTCTATTTCACAGGAAACAGTCAGTGATGAGAACTAAAGTAAAGAAAGGGTGTACTCAACCACATAGCTGCTCTTCGCTTTTGTTTAAATGCATAAAAATGTCTAAGAAAGCATCCTCAGCTTCTGTATTTTGTGACTATGAGTTGCTTGTCTCATTTCCTTTTTTAGTATTTAGTTTCAGCTGGGTGAAGCACTGGAACTGAAACCATGGTTCACAAATAACTGGATTTTTTAAGGGAATGGGGAACTTGACATTTAACATGCATGTCAGCTTATTTGCCTAATTTAAAATCTATAATAAATTTGCATTAAAAATAATCCAATTCGTGGTCTATGCATCTGGTTCTGGTGCACAACCAATAAAAGATGTCCACAATTTATCACTCTTTAGCCATTAATCAATTTACAAAATGCATGAGTTGATAGGTGTAGTATTGAAATAATTCACTACAGAATCTTCCAACTTACGTATAAAATGTCATCTCTCCTATTTTCAAGTCTAATCACTAAGTTTTGCTTCCAAAAGGTACCTTTTTGCAGGAACTAGGCACTTCAATTCTTCATCCTTTATATACCTTCCATGCTTATCCGGAGATTCTTGTTTGGAATTTATTGTGTATACAGCCTCGCAATATCTCTTTAAAGGTCCTTCAGCCTTCATAACTTTTTGCGTCGACCGAATACAAGTTTACATGTGTCTAATACAGACTCTAATTTTTATGGCCTATTTCAATAGCACATATCTGGCTGTAATTCTAGTTTTACTATTATCCCATTGCCTCTTTCTTCACTTTCTCAATTTTCCATACAATTTAGCAAAAGCATTAGATGGATAAGATAAAAATATGTAACAGGTAAATTCCATGAATATTAACAGCTTATAAAATGTTCTGGGTTAGAAGAGTCATTTTAGTTTGGAAAACACTTCTCTTTAAATCCTTTTAATGAGATGCGAGCTTCACTGGCAAAGCCAATATTTGTTGCCCATTCCAGATTGCTCCTGAGTTGGTGGTTACTATCTTCTTGAACCACAGCTGTCCATCTGGTTTTGTTACATCTACAATTCAATTAGAGAGGGAGTTCCCGGATTTTGACCCAGCAACGGTGAAGCGATAGTGGTACAATTCCAAGTCAAGATGGTATGTGGCTTGGATGGCACTTTACGAGTGGTAATCCCAGCCAAATCTTAGAATGAGCAGTTTTTTTAGAAGGGGTTTTGTGGTAATGGGGAAGGAAATACTTTCTTTTAAATTGGTGAGAAATGTTCATTTCTCTTGCATCACCTCATGTAGCCTCTGTGTATGTACTGTACAATGTGCATTGGTGGTTATCCATTGTAACAATTGATGGTTAGTCTTATAGCCATATCCTCCAATTGGCTCATGGACCTAGCATTGTGCACTCAAAGATAAACAACATTTATCTGAGGGCAGTTGCAGAAAAGCCTTCAAGCCATTGTGGGAACCCTCTCCAAAAGTCACAAGAAAGGAGGCATGCTGCCAATGCAATTGACCCACCAGATCAAATGGGTTCATAAGAAGCCTACTCAGATAAACTAAAACAAAATGCAACAGGTACTGGAAATCTGAAAGAAAAACACAAATTGCTGGGACAACTCAGCATGTCAGGCGGTCTTTGTGGAGAAGAGGAGTTATTGCTTGATATTTTCATGTGGTCTTGGTCTCTGGCTGGCGATCCAGCGAGAGCCCAACATCACCTCAGGCTGTGCATGATTAATGACAAGATGTAGGTCACGGAGGAGTAAGGGTAGGGGGCAGCATGACTAAGGGGCTAGCTTTTAGTGGCGTCTCCCCCGATAGGGTGGCACAGTGGCTCAGTGGTTAGCACTGCTGCCTCCCAGTGCCAAAGACCCCGGTTTGATTCCAGCCTCAGGTGACTGTCTGTGTGGAGTTTGCACATTCTCCCTGTGTCTGCATGGGTTTCCTCCGGGTGCTTCAGTTTCCTCCCACAGTCAAAAGATGTGCAGTTAGGTGGATTGGTCATGTTAAATTACCCTTATTGTCCAGGGGTATGCAGGCTAGGTGGATTAGCTATGGGGTTACAGGGATAAGGTGGGAAGTTGATTCTGGGTGGGATGCTCTTCGGAGGGTCAGTGTGACTTTGATGAGCAAATGGCCTGCTTTCCACACTATAGGGTTTCTGTGATTCTAAAATGCAGCTTTTTGTTGGGTCCACTAGTGGACTTGGATATAAATCCCTATAAATCTGTGAAAGATGGATTTCAAGCTTTCCATGAAACCTTGTGGAAAGTTTGTGGTTCAGGACTCCTCTGTGCACCTTAGCGAATGACAACAGGCCCTCTGGCTGATAGACAATGCATCAACTATGCCACTGTGCATGCCAATCAGCCTTTCCTTGTGCATTGCCCACATCTGAATCCTCACCAGTTACCTCACAATGAAGTGAAAGGTCATATGCACTCTATTCTTCCCCAACACCACCCTCCCACCCCCATGACCCATGACTCAGCATGTGCACATCTAATCCTTAAACTGCCTTCTAAGGTATGCACATTGCCTAAATCTGAACTAGATGAGTGTCAAATCACATGACAATGTTTCGCCCTCAAAAATTTGTGTTTGGCTGGGAATAAGAGGGGAAACATAGATTGACCATGTTCTATAATACATCGAATAGACTGACGGGTATTGACAGAAACAAGAACCTGGCATCCTCCAGCAAGGCCAAAACATGAGGAAGCCATCCATACAGGTTACAAGGTCCATTTGTTTCTAAGATAGTGTATTAACCAATTTTCCTCTGTATGAGACAAGCTATCAAAAGCAATAGTTGTGATCTCATTATTTGAAATTTTCATGACTTTTCTTTAGATTATTTCCATGTAAAACATTTCATTATTAGGACTGCTGCCACAGCTGGTTTAGCTAGTACAATCCATAAAAATGTTGGTGGAATAAGGATATCATTCTGAGATGCTGATACAACAGTTAGGTCACAAGGGATCCAGGGAAAGCTGGCTAATTGGCTTCAAAATTGGCTTGAGGGTAGGAAACAGAGGGTGAAGGTTGAAGGTTATTTCTCAGACTGGAGGCCTGTGACTAGTGGTGTGCCACAGGGATAGGTGCTGGGACCTTTGTTATTTGTTATTTACATAAATGGTCTGGATATGAATGTACAAGGCATGATTAGTAAGTTTGCCGATGATGCAAAATTAGGATGTATCATTGGTAGTGATGAATGTTATCAAAAGTTACAGAGGGATCTTGATCAGATGGGGAAGTGGGCTGAGGATTGGCAAATGCCATTCAATACAGATCAGCGTGAGGTGTTGCACCTTGGAAAGTCAAACCAAGGTAGGACTTATACAGTAAATGACAACAAGATCCTGAGGAATGTTGTGGGGCACAGGGACCAAGGAGTACAAGTACATAGTTCGTTGAAAGCAGTGTCACAGGTAGATAGGGTGGTGAAGAAGGCAATTAGTATGCTGGCCTTCATCAGTCGAGGCATTGAGTATAGGAGTTGGGACGTTATGTTGCAGTTGTGTAAGTAGTTGGTGAGGCCGCATTTGAAGTATTGTGTACAGTTTTGTTTACCCTGTTATAGGAAAGACATAGTTAAACTGGAAATTGTGCAAAGAAGATTTACAAGGATGTTGACTACAAAAAGCGTGGAAACACAGGTTGACCATGACCTTTTATACATAGAATAGATTGATGGAAAGTAGGCCTGAGTTATAGGGAGAGGTTGGCTAGGATAGGACTTTATTCCTTGGAATGTAGGAGAATGAGGGCTGACCTTATTGAGGTATATAAAATCATGAGTGACAGAGATAGGATGAATGCATGTGGTCTTTTTCCAATGGATGAGGAATTGAAAAATAGAGGGCATAGGTTTAAGGTGAGGGGGAAAGACTCAAGAAGGATCTGAGGGGCAACTTCTTCATGCAGAGAGTGGTGTGCATATGGAATGGGCTGCCAGAGAAAGTGGTTGAGGCAGGTACAATAGCAACATTTAAAAAACATTTGGATAGGTACATGGATGGGAAGGGTTTAGAGGGATATGGACCAAATGTCGGCAATGGGAACTAGCTGAGTGGGCACCATGGTCAGCATGGCCCAGTTTGGGCCGAAGGGCCTGTTTCCATACGGTATTACTGTATGACACTATGATTATGAAAACTGAAAAATGGAAGAGGTCAGCTCTTTCTGTGAGTCTTGAGGACTACTGGCTGACCAAATGTAGTCCTTGCATAACTGAAAGCATAACGTCACCCAGGACAAGAGCAGGGGAAAGCAGAGGTGCATAATTACAGGATTATAGGATAAGGACAAAGTTGGATTTGTGGAGATGTACTGCACAGAATCATGCTTTCATCATTGATAGCTCCAGTGACACTGCTGGCCTTGATCTATTTTCCTGTCATTATAATTACATGGCATTCACTACATATAGTCATGCCCATCTTCCACTGCTTTGCTTTTTCTACTGGGTATTCTGATCCAGCTTATCCTGCAAAAG